GACTCTTGATGCCAAACTCCGATGGAAGGCCCACATCAAAAAGAAGCAAGATGAGCTAAACATCAAGTTCCGGAAACTATACTGGCTACTTGGAACACGATCCGAACTAACAATCAATAACAAGCTGTTAATCTACAAACAAGTGCTGCGACCAATCTGGACTTATGGCAGTCAATTGTGGGGCTGCACCAAAAAATCTAATGTCGAGATAGTCCAAAGATTCCAGAACAAAGTACTAAGGCGTATAACTAATGCACCTTGGTATCTACGGAATTGCGACTTACATCGAGAACTCAGCCTAGAAACGGTTGAGTCAGTTATACAAAGATGTGCTGTTTCACACGAAAGTCGCCTTCAGCGTCACATCAACGAAGAAGGGTTCAGGCTCCTCGATGTGGAAAACTTGACAAGAAGACTTGATCGTACCAAACCATTCGAGCTTACCAAGCTGCCAAACAACTAAGAAACTATAGGAAAAGCTTAGATTTTTAATCATTGTAATATCTTAGTGCCAAAACAAAACAGATTGTTAGTCGTCTCTATGACTAGTTTTGGTATCATCTTGCACTCAGTGAGAGAAAAAAAAATAAACTCGAAAAGTTGGAAAGATATTGCTGGAAAGATCTGCAGATTTCGTTTTAGTAGGACTTGATCCCAAAAACTTAAAAAACGTTTTAATACATAAGAAAATTATTATTAATAAGCAAATTTCAACTGACGAATGAGCAAAAAAGTTGAAATTTTTTTTTATCTGCCATATATTCTTCATTTTGCCGCTAATTCAAAAAAGCCATCAAGATTTTGCAAAATCCTATTAACTATGGCACAACTAAACACACTGTTAACTCTTTTGATTATTTTCAAATTCAATGGAAATACTTGCTACTTGATTAGTTTTTTCAATAACGCTTGTTTATTGTGTTCTTTATCATTTTTTTCAGTTTGTTGAAGTATTTTTAAATAAAAAACCGCACATCTGCGATAGCGTCTCACTGTACCTCCTGCAGTGGAGAAATAAGCTCATAAAAATACGCGTCTCATTGTTACCCATAGTCCCGTACTTGAAGAGCATGCATATGGTCTTAATGCAGCTTTCGAATCGAATGAAGCAGACTCAATTAAAATCACGATAAACGCTGCAGAAAGAAAGCGCAAATAATGAATGACAAGCGGAAATGCCTGCTTTGAAGGAGAAAGCGAGCAATTTAGGAAAAGTTTAACTGGGACCACAAAAGTTCGACACGCGTAGTCAAAAAGAAAGTTTACGAAGTGTGATTTTCCGAAAATGAAGAAGCTTTTTATGGAAAATGGAAACACGAACGAAGAATTAATGTTTGATTGGCAGCCATATGTATAAAGTGATGGAGACATGAGACACTCAAATAGACTTCGAAAGTGCGAAAAAATCGTTTTTTTAAATATAAATAATCAAGTGCATAACAACCACTTTTGGACACCATGGAATTAAATTATTTTTTGCGGTTTTATTTCTATGCGATTAAACGCAGCCAACACTTTTACACACAGACTGTAAAAGCGTTCATAATCTGATAGAAACAAATCTTTATCTTTGTTCGGTGCCTCTATACTAAGGCAACATTCTTTTCAGATATGAAAACGATAAAAATGTGATATTTTTTCAACAACAAACTATCCAGATCCAGAGACTTTGGATATTATAGCTTTGCACGTAAACAACTTATTTTGCAGACAAATTGTTTAAAAAAAATCAAATTATTGAGATAAATTCCTATCATTCACCATTGATGAATGTCATACATATTTTAAATTCAGAGTTGTGTACACTAACAGCTTATTTACAGTTGGATTTATTCAATAAGCTATAATCTATTAAATAATAGACCATTAGAAACTCTACTAATCTAACTCGCTGGTCATTTTTAGCTTCTCTATTACAAAATCGATGTGCCATAGAACAAAACAGTAATAAAGGTAAAATAATTTGCCTCGTGTGTACGTTTGACAAATTTAAAAATAATTTCCAGCTCTGAATACACAACGGTAACCTTGAACCTTGAAATCCTGAAAGCTATTCTATCCATAATTACAATGGGACATGCGAGACCAACTATGGATACTTAAAGCGCAAAAAGGTATTTGCGGTGTGATTAAAAATTATACTAATGTGTGTAAAATCCGAAAATGAATATTTCTGGAGACTGGGACGCATTCTATGCAAAGAAAACATCAGGAAAATTGCAACAATAATTCTTCAAACTAAGTACTGGACACAGTTTATTGGCTTCCAGAATACAATACAAAATAGCGAAATTTCCAAGTTTTGTTTCCAAATCAAATCCAAAATTTGCTTCTCATTCTTGTCTGCCGCAATAATTATTAAGCAATGGGCAAATATCGCCGAAATCTTGGTAGCTGAAAAATGTTTTCTTCTCACCACTGCCCAGACCGAATCCCCAAGAAGAAATCACATCTTTCAACAATAATTATTTTCATGTTCTCCAAAATTGGTTGTAAATGTACATACACACATCATAAACCTGTGTCAAATTTCGTTAGAATTCCTATAAAAGTTCTGATGACACGACATGAGATACTTATTTATTGACCTCCATAGCCCACCTTACAAAATGTAGCAACTTTTTGAAATTTTTAGATAAAATAAATTATAGTTTGAAAATAGGTGATTGCACAGCTTAAAGTGTAAATGCAAATTTGTAACTTTGTAAATTGTCTATCTAATGACGTACATATTAATATACAGGTACTTTCATTTGAAAAACAACAGTTATATTGCGTTAAAAAGTTTTAGATTGAAGTCCACATTGTTAACACTACGATGTATTGATATATTGGTTCAATAGAATTCTTAACGGATCTGTGTTGATTGGAATTGCTTCTACATCTTTTTAAATGCCATGTTTTAAAGCAAAATTTTGCTAAAATGGCGATAGTCTGCCAACGTCGCAAGTAAGAAAAAAACAATTTACGGTGCATATGCAGTCTTTGAAGCTGTATTCAATGAGCTAATGAAAAATGGGTAGTTTTATTTAAAAAAATACACTTTGATCTTGCCTCGCTTTTCTGAGACACGCTGTATCATATGAGGTATTTTTAAAATGTGCGCACTTTGTGCGTCAACAACTTTTATATGAAACTATTTTTCGAAAGTTCAACACCGTCGGAAATAATTGACTCTATCGCACTAAAAAACCACCCTGTATATACGCATGACTGAAAGCTTGCGATTAAAGATTTTTGCGACGTCGGTATTTAATACGATTTATATGTTTTCTACTTTTCGCTGTTTGTTAGCTTTTTATTAAAAAAACATGAATAGTTAAGTTTCATATTTTAGTTTATCATGAGAAAATAGGTTTTGAATAACAGGTACACAAACTAGTTATTTTTATTAAGTGTTCTATTGCCGATTCACCCATTATTTTTTAATTTGCATCATTTTGCAGAATTGTTCATTCGAATTTACATTTTTTTCAGCTCTTGTGCAAATCGGATAAATGTCATTTCTTATTTTAAATATCAATTTAATATTTGTACAGTGTCTCCCATGTGGATGGAGCCTCTTAAATCATAAAACATCTGTTCAATATTTCCGACTTATTAGGGACAGCAGCATAGAAGAAAACAGCAATTATAGAGAAAAAAGTACGATCAAACAGTCGTTTCCATCTCAAGACTTATTAGACTAATTTCTCATATACACACATCATTCCTCAAATGTTTTGCCTTTTTGTGGCCGGACCCCCTCTCGATAAAGCTAAAGTTAGAACTGGTTTCGGCTTCTAATTTATTCCATCGATTGGAATATTACCTCGCATATCACACGATTCTCTTGGCAATGAAAATATCCAGATCGTTAAACTCAAACGGCTATTGGCAGATATGTGTTTTTAATATGCTGAACCTGAACTCACAACTGAAGAGAACTCGATTCCTTTAGATTTCCCTCGAGTTTTAGTAGATTATAGTGTATTTGTATGTCCTGTGTTATAAATGTTTGCAAGCATTATCTCAAATAAACGTTGCGCAATGTTAGTTGAAAATATGAAGGCAACAAATGGTTCCTGCATTTTTCTAATACTAAAATGTTCAAGTTTTATAGGTGATTTGTGTAGTTGACGAAATCGTCAAAATAGTATGTTAATTACGAATGAAACTTTCTAAACGTTATAATTTTATATTATTTTTCTTCAGGCAACATTGATACCATGTAAGAACTGCGATAGAACATTTTACCCTGATAGACTCGAAGTTCACCTACGAAGCTGCAGAGTCCAACTCAACAACAGTGTAAGTATTTTATATTTCATTTAGAGGAGTTGAGTAATGAATTTTATCGACTTACTTCAAACAGCCTGAAAAACCCCAATGTGGTCACCAAGAAAAGGCCAGTTTGTTGAAATATGAACACCTTGTATCACGGAGCGAAGAATTTCAACTACTTTTGTATGAACTCTATTTAAAATTGTACTCGGAGGGAGGCACAGGTTTTCATTTTTTAGCTCAATAAATAAAGACTGAGTATTCCGAAAAATGTGACATGCTTTCGGATATCTACAGGGTGTCAAAATAACATGACAAGCTCTTATTTAAAAAAATTACCCCGTACACCAAGTCATCGACCCTGCTGCGAAAATTGGTTTTTATTCAATAACTTTTAAAGTACTTGAAATAATTAAATATTTTTTTAATGTGGTAGATCCTAACTATTGTCCCCTTAAAATAGTATGTTGGGAACTAAGTTTGCTTTTTCAGCCTGCCGCTTGCACTAATATTATTTGCACAGATTTTTAGCATCCGATATGATTAAGACACCGGAATACTATTTTCAGACAGCCTTAGCTTAAACTTAAAAAAATGTACTATTGTTTGATATCGATAAAATATACTATTTTTTATCAAACACTTTTGTTAAAATTAATAAGTATTTAAAGGTAAAAGAAAAATCCAAGTAGGTCATTTATAGGTAAATCTCTCAGCATTGTTTGCGACCACATAACTATGGGAAACATAATTATGTGTAGTATTTCCTTCTTAGTTTCAAAAGCAGTTGAAAAAATAAACACTTTTAGGATTAAGTACCTATTTTCTTGTCCAAGTTGACAATATTGCAAATCAGCCTCAAAAATTATACTTTGCAAAAATCAACTTTCTTGATCGAAATAGAATTTTACTGGAAAGCGGAAGTAGTCAACTCGAGGGCCCTCAAAGCGGGCCCAGGAAAGAAATGGGTCTCCAAACCCATATGGTTATAGTCAAATACATCTTTGAGAAAAATGTGAAGAAAAATCATATTAAAGTGTACTTTTGGTATACTCCTAAAAACAGTAAAGCCAATCAAAACCTTATGGAAAAAATGCAAAGTAATATTCATGTAGGAACCTAAACTGTAATACAGAATTCAACAGCAAGTCTATTTGATAGAAATCTTAAAGTTCCTCTGCAAAAAATCGCAAGAACGACGCAGAAGTAAACAACCGATTGGAAAGCGCAACAAGACTTTATTAGAGCCTAAAAAAATCTTCTGGGGAGGAAAGAAATAATAAAGAAAACACAAAACTACAAAAAAAAAGAAAATACAAGCTGCAGTGAAAAATGAAAGTCTCGAGAACAATCAGAGGAGTGGCAAAAAATATAAATTGCACAATGAGATTATAAGGGAAAATTTACGAATGAATAGTTTTTGAAAGCATAGAGAGACAACAGGTAAGGTAGTTTGCATGCCCAGATTTTCTGGGACACATTGTACATCCAAATTGTGGTCAATTTTAGCAATATGTTCTGATCATTTTCTGCGCCTGAAGGGAGTTTGGAGCTCCGATGTTTCCTTGCAATTGGGACACGTTCCTACCCAAAAAGCAGCTATTGCTCATGGCGTTGGGATAGAATGCTACAGATTTTAATGTTGTAAAATATAACATTCTTCAAAACCATTAATATTGTGAGGCACAAGCGAAAAAATGTATTAACATAACATCATGCGGTTTCCTGTCCCTTTGACGATGTAAATCTGACCCCTAACTAGGCAACGAACTTAAAATTGAGTTTCTCTAAGCAGCAAACAAAATTGAAACCGCTTCAATTTCGTCCCAATTCTGAACTCGGTTGACTGATAAATAAAGTAGTATATTGTTTTCAGAAGAAATCATATTCAAGTGACACTCTGCATACATCTTCATCGCCAAAGTCCCAAAGCTCAAAGTCGCAGTCAGCTACAACCTCGAGTAAAAGTAATCAGCAACCGCAGAGTATTCAGTGCTACATTTGTGGCAAAATGTTTGGCACACATTCAATAAAAATCCATGAGAAGCAGTGCCTAAAGAAATGGCATATCGAAAATGAGAGTTTACCTCACGACATGAGAAGTCCTGCACCGTTAAGAACAGGTCAGTTTGTTGCAACTTTCAACTATTTTAAGCTCGCTTTTATTTGTTTATAGTGTGTATGTAACAAGCATCTTTAAAGAAGCTACCAATAAAGTTTTGTCTTGGTTTCAGCTAAAAACCAACATCGGCCACCTAACCGAGAACCATTACGGTCTCCCGTTGAAGAAACGCCTCAAAGTTCATCATCTCCGGCCCCCAAAAGCAGCAAAGATGACCGACCAACTTCAGGAGTAAGATCACCATTGTTTCCATGTTATCTGTGTGGAAAGCTATTCACCGTGAATTCGATCTATATCCACGAGCCGCAATGTCTGAAAATGTGGAAAGTCGAAAATGATAAATTGCCCCTCAACAAGCGGCGACCTGTACCTTTGAAGCCTGATATTAAATTTACCGGTAAGTGGAAAATTGTTTGCAATCATGCGAATTTGTTGGCTGCTGCATTTCGTGTTCATTGAAAACTAAATGTTTTTCAAAAAATATCAACAGGGCTATTATTAAAGTACGTAACCAAAGGCGATTTTAACAAGGAAAGTTTGTATGAGTTTATACATATAAGTCTGAAAATGATTTCTTCTATACAGGATTTTATACATATATTTGAAATAAAAAATATACTGTTATTTATAAACACTTTAATAATCCTTTTATTCGAATTAATCAAAAACAGCCATTTTTCATCAGAAGCGACGATCAAAAAGAAGCACTTTTCTCTACTGTTCATTTGTTTTATTTTTACGCACGGACTTTTACGCACGCACGCACGCATGTGCGCAAATGTAAATGTGACAAACTGAACGTGTCACTGTCATAATATTTTTTAAAGTATTTTCATTAAAAAGTAACCGAGAGGCTTTTTTAATGAATTACGTAGGTTTAAAGACAACTAATGATCATATGTTAAAGTTTACTTACAATTTGTTACAAGTTCAGTCTCAAAGTAGTTCAAATAGTCAATTTTTCTACGCTTGCCGATGTTGCAACAAGCACGATTGTTTTAAATACCGCAAATTTCTTGCAAAATATGCATCCTATACAAACACCATACCGTGAAAGCAGCACTTGGATTTTCAACACTCATTGTTTCATGTATGTTGTATATGCTTACAAAAGTACGCTTTGGAAAAATTACAAATGTCAAAACATGACAATTTCAAATTTGCATTGACACCAAATTTTAAATATGAAGTTGACGCCTTTTATTTTTGCCTATTTTTATTTATTATAACTTATGATTCGTGTTATGTCCTTTATTCGAATAAAAAATATTGTTCGATAAGAAGGCAAAAATCCGTTTTTCGATCTCCTGACGGATTGACAACCTCGACTTCGTCTCGGGTATCAAACGTCGTCATTCGAATAACGACACTTTTCGCCCTTGTATCGAAAACTACTATTGTTTGTGTGTGCATCAATTTTGTCGATAGTTGCCAGTGGTATTTACAGCAGTAAGAGTCTAATTTTCGAAACAAACCACAAAAATTATTAGGGGCAACGGCAAAGACAATGTGATCGATATTTTTGACAAAAAAATTGTGCGCCCAATGACTTCTTATGAATTTATCTATTTTTTCTAATTTATCCGATTTACGAATAGGTACGTTTTGAAAAACGGTTTTTGATAAAGTGGTTAGTGGTATGCGCAAATCTTATTGGCTGCAGAAAAAATCAGCAATTTTTTTAGCAAATTTGAGACAGAAATGATGGCGGTATAAGAAGCGCTTGACTTTTAAGAGGCCCTCAAAATTAAAAAATATGTGTTGCCAAAATAGTTTTTATTATAAATAGCTGGCCTAAGAATACAGCTATTTGAGTTCATCGTACCGAGAGCTATCTTATGTTATTAAAATAATTTCGATTCAAATAGAAAGTTAAAATAGTAAACTCTGATCTAGAAAATGTCGGTCTGGGCCTTTTTGTGCGTTGATCATAGGCCTGAGTAACACTGTGTTGAGTTGCGCTTTTGAGTTGTTGCCGCTCTCTGAGTGAATGAGTCTTAACTCAATAACTCATAGCCGATGACGTAATTTTAACATCTAACAACAAAAAAAAGCCATAAACATATTTGCGTATGCGTTTGCGCATACTATTGCTTTTTTACAAAAAAAACACAATAACTTTGTTTCGATTGTGTCCCAAAGGTAAAATGAGTATTCGAAATTGCATATTTGTATTCGATTTTGGATAAAAGAGTCTCAGTTTGCCAGTACTTTACAGTCAAACGTTAGGAAGAACCGCATTGTTCTGTTTAGAGAGGGTTTTGTTCAGAAATATTGACCTAAAACTGAAGAAACTGGAAAATTTAAATAAACCAAATTATTCACAGCGGCAAAAGTGACGAGTTTTCATAATAATTGATTATAAACTTTCACTTGTTCTGTTCGGGGAAATATTTTTGGAAAAAAATTATTAGAGTTTTGTCCAAAATTCGAAGCTACAAAAGGTTTCAGAAAAAAATTTCCAAAGCTGTCCAGGAGCCGAGTGTTCCAATAAAATTTATTTTATAATTTTCACAGAAAATACTTGAAGTACTTGTCAGTATTTTAAGTAAAACTAAAAATAATAAGTTTTTTTGCGTAGCAAGAATTGCTTAATAGAAACTTTGCTAATACCGGAATGACCTGAACTTTAAAAAAACTTGAAAAATCTTCAGACCGATGAAGGTGGCGAATTTTCCAAGTAGTTGTTTTTGCTCTGGCCGTTTTTTGAAGATAGTCCTAATTACTTTCCGAAAAAAACTGACTAAAATTATTTGGTTTTTGTGCCAAATTCGAAGCTGAAATGGGTTTTCTAAAGTTCCCCGCAAACCTATGAATGAGGCGAATTTTGTAGCAAATTTAATTTTATCATTTTTGGCTAAAAAGACCCCATTATTGTCAGAAAAGAAGAAAATCATCAGAAAATAATGATTTATCTGCGTTTTCGATTAAAAACTTGTAGTTTTATTATCAGTTTTGGTAAAAACCTTAATAGTTTTGGGGAGAAAACGGGATAGATTTATTTTCGATTTTGTCCCGAATTCGACTCCGAAAAAAGTTTTTGTAAAATTCCTACAAAGCTATAAATATATCTTGTAATATTTCGCGTAAAATACATCCAAATCGTTAGTATTTTTAAGTAAAACTCTAAAAAATAGAGCGTTTATATATATAGAGTGGAAACTAAAGCAAAAAAAATCAAATAAAAAAACCACATTTTTTAACAAGCTCTACAGTCTTCAGAGGGATGGAGGTGATGAGTTTTCCAAATAATTTATAATAAACTTTCGCTTATTCAGTTTGTTTTTTGATAGAAAATTATTTTACTTTTGTCCCAAATTCGAAGCTGGAAAGGAATTTCAAAACCTTTTACAAAGCGACGAAGAAGGGGAGTGTTCTAATAAAATGTGTTTCATATTTTTTCGCCAAAAATACCTTAGGATTTTTTAGTACCTTATACTTTTCAGTATTTTTAAGGGATTTTTTTGAAAATTGAGCATTTAGAAAAAAAGCGTGATTGCTGAAACTGCAAAATTCTTAAATTTTGGTGAAATGTTAATAACATTATTGATAAATGGCCCTTAAAATAAATCTAAATACAAGTAAAAAAAGTCATCAACTGTTTCCCAGCAACGGAACTGAGTTACTGCACCGGTGCGTTGGGTTGGCGCACCAAGCCATTTACGTAACACTGCGCCAACGCCTAAAAATTCAGTGAGTTACCCAGGTCTAGTTGATCAGTTCAACTCAAATTTTCAATAGAAAGTTTTTTCTCAAAAAAAATAATCATTATGATGACTAATTATGTTCCATTAGAAATTCCTAATTTTTAAAGACACAAACCAAACTGAAAAAGGACAGGAACAAGAATAAGGAACCACAAAAACAGTATGCACAAAGCACTGGGTGAAACGTACACTAGGGCAAAACTCGACGTACATTTCCGATGTAATTAATAATTAAGATAATTAATAAAAACATTATAATAAAATTATAATTAAGTGTTGGATGTTTTTATGAGATACAGCATAGGGCCGTATCTATAACAGGCTAACGCCAACTTTCAATACGAATTCTCGCTCGCAGCGTGACAAGAAACAGTCTAATAAAGAAATCAATTGAAGATCGTTTTGCAGCAAAATTAATGTTTTGTGCTTATTTTCTAATGAGCATAAGAAAATTTAAAGTATTTTTTAAATACATTTTAACCACTTTGCCTTCCTTAACCAAGAATTGTGGAAACGCTATAAGTGTCGAAAATAGGACACCTTTCACTATGCACTATAGTTGTGAGAGCAGCCTTGCATAAATTTCACATGGAAATTTTTCAAATCACATAAAGGTTTGAATAGGCTAATATTAACATTAACAGACCTTTGACTGGCGTTGAGCAAATGAACAAATGTTACGATTGTTTTGTACCTCACTTCAGATGTTGTTTGCTGAAGATTATTACAAGATAAACGCATTATGAGCAAAACTAAATAATTATGAAAGTAGATACATTTGCTCAAGTAATTTTGTTTAAAACCACAGTGGCTGGTTTAAAATTACAATACTTAGGCATAACGTTAAAAATTTTCTTCACATATAAAAAGTACCTAAATAATGTTTTATTAAGTAAATTGCGCCCGGTTATTCACCCTGCAAAACACGAACGCCCAATATGATTTAAAAAAGACGGTTTGGAACACGCATATGACCTTAGTAGTAATTTTCCTCATTGTTTGACGGTGATTACTTATCGCATGTTTAAAGTAGTATATAATTATAATTACCTACGGTTTATCAGTCTGCCTTAGCAGGATAATAGAAGAAACTAAAACATTTTCCCAAAGGTGTATTAATTCATCTTGCGTCTTTTTGAAACGCTGGATTAGATATTTTAACAAAACAGCGCTTATGGTTGGATATTGCATGCATACAAAAAGTTTAATTATTTTCATCACCTCTATCATTCCATGATCCTAAATTTTGTTCGAAAATACCTTGGCAAGTAGCGGTTTACTACAGTTGCACATTTCCGTCAACAATAGCTTTGTTTTTGCGAAGCCTTGTTATCAGTATCAGGTCAAAAAGTAAGACTACTTTAAGTGAAACCGATATCCAGTAGAAACCAGTTTTTTATATTTCAGGTTCAGGGAAACTGAACTTTCAAGAAACCAGCGAGGCTTATTGGCAGAGCCACATCAACCAGTTGGTTCCATGCAAAATGTGCTCTCGAACTTTTAATCCAGACAGAGTGGCTGTTCACGAACGTAGTTGTAAGGGAAACTGACGATTTAATGTTAAATTATGTGTCTATTATAGAACGTGATCTTTAAATAAAACGTATAAGAAACGTAGCCTTTTTTTAGATATATAGATGTAACATTATCTATATATTTTGAAATGTTCACATACGTGCTTCGTGCTTAAGGATAAGACTCTGATGGAATTTAAGACATTTTGAAGAATATGTGACCTGTTGACTAAGAATGTGTCTATTGGTTTATGTGTAAATAATAAATTTAGTTTTTGCATGAGCTTCCAAATCATTGATATAAATACTTGCATATGAATGCGGAATATGTTTAAATTATTTTTTTTACAAAACTGCACTATTTATAATCGAATTGCTTCACTTCAATTTATTACTTGATTTTACAGAATCCGTTTTCAATATTTGAAAAATGTCTGAATCTCATATCCAAGCTTCATGTTAAAATAAAGTTTACTGATGAAGAAGTTGTTGGGCCGGTAGAGAAATGTAGCTCTTTTTGGAGTTTCTTCCATTGATCGAATACGAAGAAAAATTCACGTTTTAAAAGGTTTTCCATGTCTGGGGTTAGTGCTTTTGATTCTATCAGACGTTACTCGTTGCTTCATTGCCTCCAGTAGGACTTATCCAATTTCTAGGTGATTTTTCTTTTTCATTCAAAGAGTGCTACAGTTAGTTTCAATTTTCAACAGTTTTTGAAATTTCTTCAATTTTTCGTTATTTTTGTTGTTTTTTCGAAAAACTAATTCTGTCAAAATGTCCGCGAACATTGCTCAAAGTTTTTTGTCTGTTTTTTTTTCTCAAAACGCTTTCTGAAAAGTTTTTGAAAATTGATTTGAATTTAATAGCATTTTGTTTTAGTGAGAATTTTTCGCGTATTTCTGGCCCTAGGTGGAAATTTGAAATTCAGCAAAAGTAACATAATATCAATGTTGGCATTGTTAAGAAAATTTCAGGGCATTTGAGATCGAAATCCTGAAAATTTAAAAAACATATTTTTGCTGTGAACGTTTTTCTCCTAATATTAATATTAATTAAGACTGGGTTGTGAAGAGCGCAATCTTCTGTAAAACCAGCTTTTTAGGCAATTCAAATAGGTTAAAAAACGTAAAATTTATTACGATTTGCAAACAAGGGTTTTTAGACACTAAAATCGCACCCCCGTTAAACAAAATAATACTGCGTTGATGTTCTATAAAAATTACCGTTCAGAAAACTAAACTCGGTTAGAAAACTGGAAAGTTATGAAGGTTTGAAGGCCGGATATCCAATTTTGAAGCCAAAAATATTTTGAGTTTTCACACTTTATGTAAACGCCAGATGCATGTAAATATCGAAAAATATGTATAATTGTTATGCTTTTTAGGCAAAGTTTAGATGCATTTGAGCGCTAATAATGCATTAGGGGAAAATTGAAGTATTTTATTRAAAATTGTAAGTCGTGWCTGAATTTTTGAAAAAAAATAATATTTGACACAAAATTGATCTTGTCAGTCAATCGCGTTTGCTTAGTTAAAAATTTGCATCTCCCAAACTAAAGCACGCAGGAAGTTGAATCTCTTACCATCTTTAGCGGACACTTGATCCGATAGACAGCAAAGCTTTCAGAAAAATCCATGCGGATCCTAATTTTTGTCGGCTTTGTAAATGTGACTCACAAAATTGATCTTGTCAGTCAATCGCGTTTGCTTAGTGAAAAATTCGCATCTCCCAAACTAAAGCACGCAGGAAGTTGAATCTCTTACCATCTTTAGCGGCCACTCGATCCGATAGACAGCAATGCTTTCAGAAAAATCCATGCGGATCCTGATTTTTGTCGGCTTTGTAAATGTGACTCACAAAATTGATCTTGTCAGTCAATCGCGTTTGCTTAGTGAAAAATTCGCATCTCCCAAACTAAAGCACGCAGGAAGTTGAATCTCTTACCATCTTTAGCGGCCACTCGATCCGATAGACAGCAAAGCTTTCAGAAAAATCCATGCGGATCCTAATTTTTGTCGGCTTTGTAAATGTGACTCACAAAATTGATCTTGTCAGTCAATCGCGTTTGCTTAGTGAAAAATTCACATCTCCCATACTAAAGCACGCAGAATGTTGAACTTACCATCTTTAGCGGACACTTGACCCGTTAGACAGCAAAGCTTTCTTGGCTATGGGATGCCAAAATTATCTTTCCTTATCAAGGCCAAAACCTTCACCAACAACAGCTGGAGGACACAGGGATAGAAGAAATTGATCACTGTTTTTTTTTAAATCATACACAACAAAAACTGGAAAATAAAAAAATATAGTTGATTAAGTAGATGACAAGGGTGAGTTCAACCCTTTAGCATTAACGGATAAATCTCAACTTTTGAAGAATAATACAAATTATTATAAGTAACAAGTGTGAAATTTGTTTCCAAAAAATATTTATTAAAATTTCACTTTAACGCCGTGTATATCCGTTATTATCGAGTTTTAGCAAAAGCGTTTTAGGAACTTGTCACACTCATTTTTGCTGTAAATTTTTCCCCGTAAGTATTGGTCGTACCTTTTCCGGACACCCTGTATATTTTACAATGGTTTGAACTCAAGAGAGCTTGAAGAAGCTAAGATTCAGGTTTTTACAAAGATTCAAAACGAAGTCAAGTCCAAATTTCAAATTGATGTTTGTACTTTAAACTGTAAAAACTTATTTTAATTATTTTAAATTTAAAAATGTGTAAAAGCTAATTTTCACAAAAACTAAATTTTCCATCTGAAGTTTTCAGTTTCCGAAAAATTACTTTACAATAAGTAAACTAAAACCTATAAAATTTAATTTTTTTTTAACAATTTCATTTGAGGATGAAAAAGTTTAAACACCTTAAAAAAAAGTATGCACTAGTTTGTCAAATAATTGCTACCTTTTAAACTTACACAAACGACGCTTTTTTTTAAATTAAAACTGTCATAGTTTAAGGAATAAAGCTGGAACTTAGGAAGATTACTATTCGTCTACTCGTGCATGCTGTAGTTCGTGATCTATTCGGTTCTAAAGTCACCATCGATAAAAACGTTCACTTTGTATAAATTCCTACTCTGGGGAAATTTATATTTATCAACTAATGCTGCTGTAATATTAACCAAACAGTTCTTTTTTCATTTAAAAATTAAATCATATTGTTTCTCAAACAAATCGTTGTTATCTTTAGAAACAATAGTTAAACTTATATCTTATTATCGTTGGTTACTTGTACCATACAGTTCTAAGCGGAACGGAAATCTGATTTTCTATAAATGATAACTGCTAACTAATGAGTGGTGAGACAAGTGTAGTTTGTATCTATATATATCATGGAAAAGGCGAAAACTATTGAGGTAGGTCTTCAAATGGCGGCGGAAACATCAGAAGGCTTACCGAGCAATGAAGTAGGGATGAAAAGGAAAAGAACATTTATGTCAAGCGCGAAATATATTATTTCGCACATGACTATAGAACCTGTATTAGTTTTCTACATCTTGCCTAGCATGATGATTACTATCGCAGTGCAAAACTTAAATTTGGAAAAAGCGTGCAGAGTGAATTTAGGTATTTCTGCGGAACACTGCGATGCCATTGCCAATCGAAGTGAATTGGCTTATCCCGATTACCAAAGGGATGAGGAACAAGTGCAAACCTTGGCTACTTATATGACAATTTTGAAAAATATCGTAAGTAAATTATGTGATAACATGAGGAATTTACTCATAGTACGTTTGCCTGCTATTTATATTTCCAAAAGCTTTCGCTTTGCTGCTTCAAATTTTTCCTTACTTTCTTAGTCATTATTTAGTGAGATGTTTTTACACACAGAAAATTGTGAGAAAAGTGCAGTTATACGTTGGAGTTTTATTATACATATTTTCACTACAAGCAAAATTTGACTTTTTTTAAAACGTGTTGCTACACTTTTTCCAAAATTGGATAGCCCGCAAACAGTTTTGTCGTTTTTACATTAAAATTAGATATAATCATTTTACAAAACTTATTTTTTTATCGATGTAATCATCGTAAATTCTTGGATTCATAGAACAAAAGTTTTGTGAATTCTATATTTTTTATTTAATATCAGCTGATGCCGGCGTAAAATTTAATAACTTGTATCAAGTTTTGATTGTTTCCTGTTGACCTTATGGCCACAAGTTTCAATATGTATTTATATCCGAAATTATAGTAAATTAAATATGTTTCCTAATGATATGATTTACATAATATTCTACCCAAAACAAAAAGTAAGTTCAAAGACTCTTTTTAATTGTTTCACTTTTTTATAATTTCCGTTTAAATTAGATAGAAAGTGTGATCCCTGGGATAATCCTTCTATTCCTTGGCGCATGGAGTGATAAGTTCCAGAAACGAAAGCCATGCATGTTAGTGCCCGTTTTAGGAGATGTTCTATCGGTAACTGGATTGCTATTTTGTACATATTTCTACTACGAATGGCCGATGGAAGTAAACTCTCTCTGTGAGTCATTTTTTCCCGCAATTACTGGCTCCTGGTTTGCCATGTTCACTGGTGTTTACAGTTACATTAGTGATTTGAGTACGGAGGAAGAAAGGACAATGAGAATTGGTAAGATATTGAATCTCGACGCAAATATCGTGGACAGATCATTAAATTAATTCGTTAAATGCACTATAATCGGCAAAGCAATATATTTTTTCCCGAAAATCTTATTAATCCCAGACGGAAATGCGGGGTGTTTATCTTTGTAAGTTATGAGTTACTGAGAAATTGAAAATTAGAGGTGACGAGTGTCTTTACTTTCACTATAATCAAACGCCGAAGAAATTATGACTGGGATTCATTTTAACTTTACCGTAACGTCCACTTTCCACTGTCCACGCATTCAATAAAAGAAAAAAAGAAAAAAAACTGGTTTATTACATATAATTGTACCAATATTTTACTCAAAAAGAAGTGTATGTAGAGACTTCTACCAAGAAACGTTTTTTTTCTGGGAAGAAAACGTGTAAGAATTCGAATCAGCTTATGAATATGAGCAAAATAAAATTGTTGTTATAAAAACTATGGCTAAAATAAATATCTTTTAATAAAGTTAGTTATTTCGATTTTTTTGATTTTTTATTTTGAATCGAATCTTTATCACGAAATCTGTCCACTTTGCGTTTAAACACTTGGCATATTACGAGGGTTGTTTGATAAGTGACTTTTTCAATAAAATAGTTTTTTTCTGCCAAAAAACGTTTTATTTCTCAACATAATCTCCTTTTAGCTCGATACACTTAGTCCAACGTCTTTCCACTTTTTTTATGCCTTCCAAATAATATCTTCTCGACGTCCTCAAAATATGCGTTTGTTTCAATGGTGACCTCTTCAATGGGCCCAAATCTCTTACCGCCTAGCCATTTCTTCAGGTATGGAAACAGGAAATAGTCGCAGTTGGCTAAATCTGGAGATATTCAGCCCTGTGCTGTATCATAAATGCTATTTTTAACG